ACAAATTTGCGTCTGCGCCGCTCCTCGGTACAAAGAAAGAAATACAATTTGCATAACATCGAACAGTATCACCTCAGACATTCAGTATTTTCATTGCTGCATGCTCACTGTAAAAGAAGGATACCAAATACCTTAAAAGAGAAATATAGATAAGGCTGTAAGAATCAAATTAAATTAAATTCAGAGTTTTTTTTTTTTTTTTTTACTTTGTTACGCAGATTTATCTAACACCCATAAAACCTTTATGTTTATGTTTGGAAGTATGATGGTTTCAAGGGAAAAGTCTTTGATTATTTTTTTTTTTTAATTAAAAGGTGAAGTTAGAATTTTAAATGCTGCAGAATTACATAATGAAATATCATTTGCGAATTGGAGTTTGTTTGCCAGATATCTTTGCCATTAAAAATGTGTTAATATACATTAAATGTATACTATATTAAAATTAATGCATTCAATTTAGAATTAGATATATGGTCATCATTTGTCAAAGAAATAAATGTTTATTTTTTGGGGGAAAATAAATTACAGTGACAATGCCAGAAACTCCATATTAAAGCATATTTCGCAAAGGAAATTGGTATACTGAAATTCCATTTCAAAATTACAATAAATCAGATGACTTGCTAATGAAGGAGAGAGCAATTAACACTTTGCTATCTAGCTGTGCCACACTAGTGTTTTGTACTTAAAGCTGGAGTATAAATGCTGGATGTTATCGCATTGATGTCATCTGTGAAGAGGCACACAAATGCCTTCATTAACATGTGGGAGATTGATGAACAGGGGTTGGTGTTGCATATGAAGTGGCAGACAGAGGCTAAGGTTATAAATTGGTGTCATGCTGTTGAAATATTACTGTCTTCTAGAGCTAGCGGCATGTCATTTGTATATCAGACGTTGTAGTTTTTGATTTTCAGTAAATAATTTAATGCATGAAATTAAACCCTTTGATAATGGCAAAGCTAAAAGAAAATTTGTTACCAGTTGATGAATGCATTGAAGATTTATCCTATGTTCTACTTGAATTTGAGGATTTTGTAGAAAAAAGAATATGTGGATAAGCTCAGATGAAAATTTAAGTGATGTGGAACATTTAGACGTTCCCAAAATACGTGTGGGAAGACATTAACAACCTTGCCTGCAGAATAATACAAAAGAATCATATGAAAATACAGTACAAAGTCCAAAGTCCTAGAGATCCAATATCCAGAATGATATAAGATCAAAACCTCAACACCATTAGTTAAACATAAATAATTAAACTAATAAAAAAAACATTCTCTTACAGAGTTTGGGAATTGAGAATCTAATAATAAAAGGAGACAAGTGTTCTGTAAATGGGTTTTTTCCCCACTGACTGAGAATACTTAATGTCATTTTCAAATATCTGCTGGCTAGGAAAGGTCCTACTGTAAGCAATAACAATGTGTTTTTTGGCCCTTGATAGGTTGTGGGGGCTGGTCTGGCCAATTTCTATTGCTCATTGCCTGTGCTAAATTCTAAAATTTTTTCCACCCTTAAACACTGACATCCAGTGCGCCCACACTGCTCTGGCGACAACTGTGTAAGAGATTACATTTTTCTGACTTAAACAGTAAGTGAAGCCATAAATGTTGCCATTTCTACATAATGATCTAAAATCTAGAATCGCTAAAATCTTAATGATTTCGGATTTCAGACTTTGTACTGTATTATTACTGGCAGCCAGGGGAAAAAAATGTTATTGCTCAAACAGGCATCAGTATGTTAATATCTCAATGAATTTGACATTAAAAATGAAATGCAAGCAGAACTGATTCTGCGTATAAATTCATACAGAACATCTCAAAATTTTTAACTAAAAGCATTAAACTAACATTAAAGCTCCTAATGCCCTTTAATACAACTTATCTCAGTAAAAAATTAAATTTCAATTTATGTAACAACAAAAACATGATGCTGAAACAAATGTATGCCAAATGTAAAATTTGGTTACGGTAATTTTAATAGAATCAGATCTTTAACCTTTTGTGACATGGGCACACCAAAAGTTTCTTTCTGTATGCATAGAAAAATTGAATGGAAAAGGATTTATAGGTTAGTATAGGCTACTCTGAACCTTCTTTATTTATAGCAGATGGCAGCCCAAGACAAACCACTCCATATATTTTAGCCATGTTTAGTTTTTAAAGACCCTCATTTTTCAAAGAAATATTCCCGATTTTGTTTTTAGGCTATAAAAGGAATTGTTTGAAAAGAAATTTCTATTTTATTTTCTTGGCTGTATGGTAATCTTCTTATTCTATATTAGTTTTAAATTTTTACCTTGAAATCTTGCCTAAAATCGAACAGCGAACATCAGGTGTGCTCAGAGTGGGCTCGCTGAGAACTTGTCTTTCATATCCTGTTTTTCTCTTTTTTTGGGGGGGGGAGGTTAGGTTTGGTTATCAACTAAGAAATTGTTGGGTTGATTTTCTGGAGGTCAGGAGTAATTTTATCAGTTAGCTGTTTGGTTTCTCACTAGAACAGTTGGGGCCCACCAGTGGCCGAGTGATAACATCGCTGAACACTGATGGTTCGGTCCGAGGTTCGAATTCCATGAACGGGCTGGCTGAATGGTTGTTTTCGTGGTTTTCCCCATGTGTAACATGTATACGAGCCAGTTTTCCTTAAACAGTCCTCCACGAAGGCATTCCTCCCTTAAGGCAGATAGCCCTCGATTGCTTTGCCGTAATCTAATAAACCAAACCAAACCAACCACTAGAACAGTTCTCTTTCGCTTTTGCTCTTTCGCTTTTGTTTCGCTTTCAATTTTTTTCTTTCGCTTTTGTTCAAAGAAGTTTTGTTAGTGCTACATTTAATAGTTTTGAGTTGTAAATGTTTATTTAATTTTACTTTATAGTTTATAATTTCAAATTGTAGATATATTCTTAGTTTATTTTTTTCAGATTTTAAATTATTTTCGGAAAGGATCGGAGGGGGCTGACCACTTCTAAAGCACTGAAAGTCCTACGCGAATTGCTTTCAGATAGTGAATCTGATACAAATCCCCGTACATGCGCGAAACATGCAATATTGGGTTGTGCTTTTTCAAAAGTGGTGTCACTTTTTTCGAAAAGTACCACCATGAAAAAAATAGACAAATGTGTAAATATGAAATGTAAATATCATACATCCAAGTTATTTTTCCATTCATATGCATGTAATCATCATATAACCAAGAAGTGCTTCTTTAGGGGGTGTAGAGTAGCAGGCCACCCTATGGCACACCCTGGGTAATGCTAAATCTGCTACGGTATTCAGAATTTAGTGTTTTTTTAATCGTAGGCAAAATCTCTTACTCTTTTACACGCTTCCCAGCAATGTTGGTTTCAGTATTCTTTTCAGCTTTATTCATTCAGTGTGCCTACCTCGGGCACACCCACAGAATTAAAATGATAAGTGCTCTCTTCACAAAATTTTACTTGTGTACTCCTCTAGACCTGATTAGACTGTCTACTTTTTTTGGGGGGGGTTCGAAATTCTGACTTTAAAAGGTAGCGTGCCGGAAGGGGTTAACATTTTGTGTAAAAAGTGCAAGCCATTCAACTTGTATAATGCAGTATTGGTTAATAAATTAATACTTGTGCATATGAAACCTGTGTACAAATTATTCATTAAAAAATATAATGAAATAATGTTTGTTTTTTTTTTTTTTTTTTTTTTTTTAGTTTTCTTCTGAAATTATATATAATATTGATACATTTGAATTCTGTTTTAAAGTTAACTTTCCTGAAAAATGGTAGGGATTAATAGTTCTTTGGTTTTCTGAATCTACAGAGTTTGGCTAATAGCCGTGCATAGTTCAATAAACAAACAAATCTATTCTATGTCACTTCCTTGTATTACATTATTACTTGTATTCTGTCTCCCAAAACTGAATGTACTAGGAGGTCAAAGCTGAGGGAATATGTACCTAAAAATAGGTTGCTTCTTGAGCTTGTGGTAATGTAAATATTATTTAATTATATTAAATGTATGTTGTATCAATTATAATTTATTACATTGGAATAATATTAGGTTCTCATATCGTAAAATATTAGGCTCTCATATCATAAAATATTGTGTTGTCTGTCAAAAATGCTTCAAGGGGTTCATATTTTGGAACCAAGTTTAAATCTTGTCAGTAGTATTAGTTAAATATTTCTTAATGTATATCCCATCAATTAAAAAAGGTGACAGATTGCATTATCTTCTTGAAGTACTTCTTTACCTAAGGAGAGTCATGAATGGATGCAGTAATCCATATAACCCATACTTGTCAGTAATTGCTCCAAGTGGCCCAGTGTAAACCAAATGAATATCATATCATCATAAAGTTATTTAGCAATAACTTATAGACAAGGAATCATTAATGAATGTAATTGATTAATTCGGATATATGCATTGTATGAAACAAGTAAAACCTTAATTTATTACATCATACCACCTAATTTCAGTATTTTGTCATCCAGTTTAGATGCTTTCAGATGATTTCACTCATTGAGCTTTATGATAATATGAAAGACTTGCTTGGTTGTTATTGTTCATGACACCTAGTGTGAACTCCTTAAATCATTTGCATTTAAGTAACCCATTAGCTGGTTTATAAGTGTGTAAATGCCATCAGTGTCATATGCAACAAAAAAATTTTAGTTGTATAGACATGGGAAAACCAAATTTCTGTACAATCCTCAATAGTGCCCAATTCATCCTTTGTCAATAACTGTCATGCCATGTTATAGTCGGGAAACACTTGACTGTGCATCCATACTGAATAAACAATTTTTCTGAAATGAATATAGGATTTGTAGGCTACTGAACACCATCCTCTGGCTGACATCTTCGAATGCATGTCACATACAGTGTGCTACTTCTAGTTAAACCTCCGTTTTCTTGAGTTTTGGCCTCTTAGTGCAAACTATTTTTATTATTAATATTATTATTATTTCTCCATTAAAGCGATCTGCTGTTCATTAATTTCATGTTTATCTATTTTCCAGCACAACTGCAAAGAAATGGGATATAGGTGAGTTTTCCTCCCTTGCTTCTGTTATTTTCCTCACCTGTGAAAACATGTATTAATAAAATTGATATATATTTCAATTTTAAATGTTTTATAAAAGGAATGTCTTTTTAAACAGACAAAATGCAGAATCTTGTTCCAAGGCCTCGTCCTACACCACAGAAGCGAATCATTGTCCCTCATACCGTTCTTGGAAATCGCTCATTTGCTCAGTAAGTTAACATGTTTAATTAAGCTTTAATTACATATTTCCAAATTTCTGTACTTTTTTTAATTCATTTGCTTCTTTTTTGTGATATTAATCAGTATTTTGATGAATTTAATACAACTAAAAGAAGCAAATAAATATATGGATTGTATTTTATATACAATTTTGGTCTTTCGATACAAGTATACGCAAACCTGTTATTTTTTTTTTTTTTTTTTTTTTTTTTTTTTTTGTGTGTGTGTGCAGTATATGAAAATTTTAATCAAATTGGAACATAATTGATGAAGTTATCAATAAAAAAATCAAACAAATAATCAATAAAAAGGAGCTTCAATCTTGTATATTTGGCTATCCAGACATAGACAAGTGTCTAGTGAAACAACAGTTGTCACAAAAACTGATTGCCGACTACATGGTAACTGAAAAAAGTCAACTCTAAACAAGATTTTTTTTTAGCTACTTATGAAGTTTTGTGTGATTTTTTTTTTTTTTTTTTTTTTTTTTTTTTTATGCAGTCCCTATCCATTGCACAAAAACATGTTTCAGTGTATATCTCTGACAACTGTCATACTTTTATCAGACCTGAATATTAAGAAATATTTTGTTTTTCATTTTAACTGATTAATTCTATTTTACCGTTCTTGCTAAGCTGTAATTATCCCTTTTGAGGCAGGGAGTAGAGCTGCCTTTTTTTTTTTTTTTTTTTTTTTTTTTTTTTTTTTAATGTATAATTTCATTGAAAGACACATAATTAATCTACTGTTTATTTTGTTAGGAGATTAATAGGCTGCATTTTTTTTTGCAATTTCATCCTTAAATGTAATGTCAAACATGTATGTAAGGCATAGTTAAGATGCTTACTAATAAACATAGATACCATAAATGTTGTGGCTTTTTTAAAGAATTAAAGACACTACTGCTCTGTGCTATTGTTATGTAATACTCAGCACATAGTGTTTGGGTGGCTTATGTTCAGTTCTTGATGAGAACATATGTTATGCTTCAAGATTTTCTAATGTAGAATATCTGATGACTCTGCAGGCCTGATAAATATCTGTCATAACACAAAAAGGGATTTTTTTTTTTAAATTAAAATATATATATATATATATATATGATGGTTGTTAGCTGATATGACCATGCTCAGAACAAATACTTGAATCAAAAATAAGCTTACTGTTTTAGAACTGTATCGCCAGTTTATTTAGCACTACACCCCTCAGGGGCTCACTCTTGTGAGTACAGGTATGGCAATCCCGAGGTACCCTAGCCTTCAGGGGATCATCTTCTTGGTGAGACGGGTGTCACGATCCTGGAGCCCCAGTGATCTATCCTCTTTTCCATCTCCTCTCCTCTGACCTGCTACTTTTTTCCCTCCCATTCTTCCTTGTGGTTTCCCTCTTCGGAGGTTGGGGCTCGTCACGAGAAACTGGAACTGCCCTTGTCTCTAGTTTTCGAGTGGTGAGAAAACTGCCCACGTGTTTGCCGTGTATGGAGACCCGTGTCGCTGGAAAGGAGGGTCCTGGTAGTTGAGGGGCGATGTACTATCCCCGACATATTACTTTGGCCTCTGCTAGCTAAACGAGAGGCACCTTAGTTGTCCTCACTGGTGTCAATCGGCTGGTCACTAGTCCTTGTGTCAGTGGCTTGGGGATAAGCTCTTGGGAGTACCTGCTTTCGGGAAAGCCAACTGTGGGGCTTCAGTGGGCTCCTTGGTGGGCGGGGCCGTCGGACCAGAATCTTATATTTTTCAATCATGGCTTCCCTTTTCATTTAAAAAAACCTGAGTCAAATGACACCAATCAAGACACTGAAATCATCAACAAATCTGTGAGCAAGTAAATTCGTACCAATGCAAATGCCAAAGAAACTACTGAATGTCCTCGCTTTGTTGTTGTTTCCAGTGCCTCTGAAGAATTGAAAAAGATATCTCCTTTCCTGATAAACAAATACATTGATTCATGCATAGGTGAGCCAAGGAACACAAAGCGTCTCCGTTCTGGAGACCTGCTGATTGGTACTGTTTCGACCACCCAGTCTGCTTCACTTTTACGACAAATCAAACTTGGACAGGTATTTATAACTGCGTCAGCACACAAAACACTTAATTTCTGTAGAGGCATAATCTCGGAAATTGACCTTCTATGTGTTTTAGAAGAAGAGTTCGTCTCCAAGTTAGCTGATCAAAAGGTCTGAGCTGCAAAGCGGATCAAGATGCGTAAGGAAGGTCAGTTGATTGACACGAAACATGTGATCCTGACCTTCAAATCACCCGATCTGCTGAAGAATATTAAGGCTGGATATCTAAATTGCCCCGTAAGACCTTATATTCCAAACCCTATGCGATGCTTCCAGTGGCAGTGTTTTGGCCATTCCAAGATGTCCTGTCGTGAGACCCTGACGTGCGCTCGGTATTCGTCAGTTGGCCACGATAGCGATAATTGCACCACTGCAGCACTGTGTATTAATTGCAAGGGCGACTATCTAGCATTTTCCCGTTCCTGTCCAAAATGGAAATTAGAAAAGGAAATCCAGACCATAAAAGTTTCTAGGAACATTTCATATGCCAAAGCCAGGAGACAAGTTCAAAGCACACAGCCTCAATCAAACAAATCATATGCCAGCGCTGTTAAATCAACATGCACTATAGCCACCCAAACTTTCATAAGTACCCAGAATCCACCAAATAAAACCTAAATAAAATACTGTATACTTCGGGATCTTCACGAGAGTGGCTTGCGTGGCAACCTACCAATTTTCATTCAAAGTTTCTTGAACACTAGGACTTTTCAAGTAAGGATTGGCTCTGTTTTGTCTGTCGGATGTTTTTGAACAGGAAGAGGGTGTGCCTCAAGGCTGTGTGCCTAGTGTAACCCTATTCAGTTTAAAAATAAACTCTGTATTAAAAGAGCTTCCTCCCACCATCTTGGGATCTCTATATGTTGATGATTTACAGATTAGCTGTCGAAGGGCAGACATGAGATACGTAGAGAGGCAATTGCAGATGGCCCTGAACAAGATCCAAGAATGGTCAAACAAACAGGGATTTACTTTCTCCAAACAAAAAACTTTGTGCGTGCACTTTTGTAGGAAGCGAGGTCTCCATCCTGAGCCTGAGTTATATCTGAATGGTACAATAATTCCAGTTGCGCCCGAAGTAAAATTTTTAGGAGTGACATTCGACCAAAAATTGACTTTCCTTTCTCATGTTTTAAACCTGAAAAAGAAGTGTTTAAAAACACTAAATATTTTAAAAGTGTTGCCGAACACCTCCTGGGGTGCAGAGCATTGCTTTGGATTGTTCTGGAGCAAACAGACAGCAAAACAGACAATTAAAAAATTTGATGCTCGCAGATTTTCCCGATTGTTAAAAACCCATTGCCATTCTAATTGGTGCAGATTATTATTACAACATAGTAATGGGACACATTAAATACTTAAGCAAAAATCTTGTTGCAGTGGAAACTATTTTCGACTGGTGCCTACATGGACGAAAAGGCGTTGCTTTGGATATATAAATCGCGAGAAAAGATTTAATTCGTTATCCTTTCCATGCAAGTCAAAACTGGAAATGAAAGGTATTAACAGATATCCACCGACGCCGAAACATAAACAAACTGTCACCACACATGAATTTATGGCAGCCACGTCATCAAATTGAAACTGCATTTTTTGTTTTCAAAACCATGACTCAGAGTCCTGTTTATGCCTTACAGTTAATGAGAAGAGATATATTTTGAAGAACCAAGGATGTTGTTTTCTTTGCCTGGCCCCTAAACACAAAATCTCACAGTGCCGGCAATGCCAAACTAAAGTTTGTAAAATTTGCAAAGGTAAACATTCAGAAGCCATATGTTTTAAATCCAGTTCAATAGTTAAAAATACACCAGGTGATAAAAAGGATAGTATATCAATTTCGAAAAATGATACACAAACTAAGGAACAGAAAGAAGAAATTGTTTCGGCCGTTTCACATAAGTGCAAAAATACATAATTCTTTTACAGACTTGCACGATAAAAATTAAAACAGCTAAGGAAAAGGTGTTTGCCAGACTTCTCTTGGATAGTGGAAGTATGAAAAGTTTTTGTGCTCGCGAGTTAGCGGACAGATTAAACCTTGAAATCATAAGAAAAGAAAAAATGTCTGTCTACACATTTGGGAATACTTCTCCCATCCAAAAAAATTATGACGTAGTTAAATTAACTTTAGAACATAGAAGTTCTCCCGATTCTAGAATAGAAGTTGAATTATTAGTAACTGATCATATATCAGGTACAGATATTCCTCCTCCTAAATCAGAAGAAATTAAGCAAAACAGACAATTAAAAAATTTGATGCTCGCAGATTTTCCCGATTGTAAAAAACCCATTGCCATTCTAATTGGTGCAGATTATTATTACAACATAGTAATGGGACACGTTAAATACTTAAGCAAAAATCTTGTTGCAGTGGAAACTATTTTCGGCTGGTGCCTACATGGACGAAAAGGTGATGATGATGTCTCTTTAGCTTTCAATGTAGTTGTAGGGGAAGATTTGATTTCCAAACAAATAACAAAATTTTGGGACTTGGAAAACTCAGGACTTATTGATAAGAGGGAAAACTTCGATTCAACTGAAAATGAAGTCGTCGAATATTTCGAATCAAATATAACATATGAAAATTCTCGCTATAAAGTTAGATTGCCTTGGAAACATGACACATCAAATCTAAATAATAATAGGGAAATCGCAGAACAAAGATTTTTCATCGACTTAGAAAGACGATTTTAAAAAGATCCTAATCTATTTTCCGAATACAGGAACGTATTAAGAGATCAGTTAAAACAAAATATTATCGAACCAGTTTACAGAAATTTCAAATGAAGAGGATGTCGTGTTTTACTTGCCACATAGGGAAGTTATACGCGAGGATCGAGCTACAAGTAAATTACGTATTGTTTATGATGCATCATCGCATGCCCCAGGATCCATTTCTTTAAATGACTGTCTACATGTTGGGCC